CACAGCCCAGCGCCCCCCGCTGCCCCCCAACTCCCCACAGCCCCCTGCCCCCTGCTGCTCCCCCGCTCCCCACAGCCCAGCGCCCCCCACTGCCTCCCAACACCCTGCAGCCCCCTGCTGCCCCCCAAATCCCTGCAGCCCCCAGCTGATGTGTCCGGTCGTCCCCAGGACGCCCGCCTGGCCGGGGGCTATGAGAACGTGCCAACAGACGACATCCACATGCGGCAGATCGGGCTGGAGAGCGAGTGGCTGCGGTTCCTGCGGGAATTCATCGCGCCCGTCACTGAGATGCTGTACCCCGGCTACTACACCAAGGTACCGGCCGGGGGGGCCTGGGGGGCCCGGACCCCCTCCCCTGCAGCACGGGCCCCCCCACCCCTCCCCCACAGCACGGGGCCCTCCGGGCTTGGGAGCGCTCCTCCGGCCGGCACCAGCAGCGGCTGCAGGGCCATTACCCGGCATGGGTCACGCCCTCCCTCTGGCCCCGCCCACTCTGACTGCCTCTCCCCCCCAGGCCCAGGCCCTGCTGAATTTCGTAGTTCGGTACCGGCCGGAACAGCAGCCGGCGCTGAGACCCCACCACGACTCGTCCACCTTCACCATCAACATCGCGCTCAACAGCAAGGGTAGCGACTACGAGGTGAGACCCCCCACCCCCCGGGGTAGAGCAGGGGCTGCGCGTCGGGACTGAGGGGCACCGGGGGGCCGGGTAACGGGGGGCCGCGGGTCAGGACTGAGGGGCACCGGGGGGCCGGGGTACCGGGGGGGGCTGCACGTCGGGACCGGGGGGCACCAGGGGGCCGTGGGTCAGGACCGGGGGCCCCCCTCACGCCCGTCTCCCCCAGGGCGGCGGCTGCCGGTTCCTGCGCTACTCCTGCTCTGTGACGGCCCCGCGGAAGGGCTGGAGCCTGATGCACCCGGGGCGCCTGACCCACTTCCACGAGGGGCTGCCCACCACCCGCGGGACCCGCTACATCATGGTCTCCTTCGTCGACCCCTAGCCCCGGCCGCGCCCC